AAAGGAAGTCCTTCTTCACCCAAAGAGTGATTAACACTTGGAATTCACTGCCACAGGAGGTGGTGGTGGCTACAAGCATGGACGGCTTCAAAAGGGAATTAGATAAGCATATGGAGCAGAGGTCCATCAGTGGCTATTAGCCACAAGGTTTAGATAGGGGCTCTGGGGCAAGTGATGCTCTGTCTTCTTGGTCCTTGGGGGGTCAACAGTGGGAGGGCTTCTAATGTCCTGGCCCCACTGGTGGACCTCCTGATGGCACCTGGTATTTCTGGCCACTGTGTGACACAGGGTGTTGGGCTGGATGGGCCTTTGGCCTGATCCAACATTGGTGTCTCTTATGTTCTTATGTTCTTATAGCAACCCTGGACCATCCAAATACTTGTTGGCAGAGTTTAAAGATGCAGAGGAACGGAGGACCAACTGTTTAAAGAAAATAACTCAGTTTATTAGAGAAGAATGAACTCTGATAGAACAGAGGAGAGGGAGAGGCTTAACTAACGGACTAACTGCTGTGAGAGATAGGAACGAAGGGGGAGGGCTCATTTGGAGCAGGAAGTCTCAGAAGAGCCAACCAGGAGACAAGAAGGACAAAATCTGAAATTGTGGGAAGCCCCTAATCTAGCTCTGCCAACTAGCAGTTCTTCAGCTGTCCCCATTGGCTGTTCTTCTGAGCTTCTTCAAGCAGGTGCACGATAGCTCTTGTACATTCCAGCAGTACCAACCAGGGCCGACCCTGCTGAGCTTTCGAGATCTGATGACACTGGGCTAGCCGGGGCCACCCAGGTCGGGGCATTCCATTCACCCGTCCATTTGTGAAGCCATCCGAGGCCGTGGGTGTGATTCCCTTGTGCCTTGTGACAGCGGTTCCAGCCGTCTGTTGTCTGAAAAGCACCACCCTGAGTGGCTTCTCTTTGAGTGCCATGGCAGCGAGAGAGAAAGACATTTCCCCAGAGGTCATTTCGTAGAAAAAGAGCTAGGGGAACTCATTAGCATAACTCATTAGCATATGCCACACCCCCTGACATCACCGGAAGTGAGTGATAAGGCCACACACCCCGCCCCCAATGGTCGGGCTCAGGGCGGCTAACAAGGCAAGAGATCTTGCAAACAGTAAAACATAATTCATATAGTTAAAAATAATTATACAATTTAAAACCCAGTACAGATTTAAACTTAAACTTAAAGTGCTCGTTGATCTTCATTTCCAACAACCCCACAAGATGACGGGCCAAGTCCAGGGTTCCCCATAATCGTTCAGTGGTTTCAGCATTCAAATATTCAAGGTGTTTTCTTCCTAGGGCCTCTTCCGCCCCCGATGATGACAATATAACAAGGGGGGGCGGGGAGAGGGCGGCAGCCCCTACTCAAAAGTCTGGTGGAAGAGCTCCGTCTTGCAGGCCCTGCAGAACTGCATCAGGTCCCGCAGGGCCTGGATCTCCTCCGGGAGCTCGTTCCACCAGGTAGGGGCCACCACCGAAAAAGCCCTAGCCCTTGTAGCGGCCAGTTTCGCGTCTCTGGGGCCCGGTACAGTTAGTAAATTTTGGGCCCCAGACCGTAGTGCTCTTGGGGGAACATACGGGGAAAGGCGGTCCCTCAGGTAGGCTGGACCCAGACCATTCTGTGGTGGGCATATACTCCGGGGCTCTTGCCTCGCTCAGTTAGTTGGGGGCTTTCTGTCCCCACTGCTGCCCCAGTCTTGCTCCACCAGGCCTCTCGCCCACCTACTGTCTAGTCACTCCCCTCTATGTCCTCCCCCCACACTTTCTCCTTGGCCCTCCCTTCTCACCCCCACTCAGGTGCACTGTAATTCCCACCTGGATGAGTAACAGGAAAGCCCTCTGTGCGTGTGCAGCTGTGCGATCCTTTCCCTTACTGACCGGTGGCCCCACCCGCCTGAACCCTTCTGCCTTCCACCACCACCACCAACAACAGCAACAACAAATACCTTTTATTGGCATAAAATATTAGACAGTTGCCATTAGGGTAAAACAATCTTATAAATTTGTGGAAAATAAATAACTTCTAAAAGCCTTACAAAGGTATGTCTATTTATATGAGCTTAAATTATAGCAAGATAAAATTTTGCCCAACCAACCACAAAACCTTGAATTAAATTATACAAACTCATTGAACTCAATTAGAATGATCAGGGACATTTTTCCGTTTTGTAAGACCATAAAAGAACTTGGCAGTCAATTCAATAATCTCCGAATCTCGAGAAGTAAGGAGGTAGTGTAGCTTGCTTCCGTCCGGTTGGCATGCTACCTTGCTAAGGGGGACTTCCAGAAATTTCGTTCGAATGTCGTTTAGCGAATTACAACGTAAAAGTACATGCTCAACTGTTTCTATTTCTCTCTTATTGCATCCGCAATATCTAATTGCATAAGGGATTTTCTTATATCTCCCCTCAAGAATAGCAGAGGGGAGAACATTGAACCGTGCTAGCATGTAAGCTCTGCACAATTGCGGTGATATCAGGGAGAAAAAATATTGTGGTGGAGCACCAGTTGCCTCTGGCCCCGCCCGGAGCAGCTCGGCTTCCTTCCCTGTGTCTGTGCGCCTGGCACAAGAAGGGGGGCAGAGTCCCCCTGGGGCTTATTCTAAGGGTCCGACCGGTCACATCACAGTCCTCCCAATGGGATGCCCGTTTTGTGTGCGTGCGTGTGTGCGCGTGCGCTGCTGGGCACCTCTTGTTGTGTTGTGCTTGTGGGCAGCTGTGGGCCAAAGTCGGGGAAGGGCGGCATCAGCACACGCCGGCCAGCAGCTTCCAGTGGTCTGTCACCAGCACTCGATGGGGGTGTGTGTGTCAGGTGGGTGACTCTGGGGCAGTTGGGGTCTCCACATGTTGGAGCAGAATCTTTCTTTCCATATTTCCTCTCTGCGGAGGGAGTCTGGGCTCGGGTCTTAGGATGGCTCTGCAGACACTCAGATTTTTACTTTTGAAATAAAATTGAACAGCAAGGACTCAGATTTTAAATACAGGCTGAATGTTTCTGCTCCCCCCCGCCCATATCCAGGCCTTTGGTGCGAAGGGGAAAGAGCAAACGTCCCCTCATCACCAATGTTCCCTCTATGCTGCAGAGTCTTGTGTGCAAAAATTCCACTTTGTGAGTGACTAGCACTAAAGTTGTGAGCGAGCGATTGGGCTGCTGCATAAATTAGTTTGCTCTGGAGCCCTCCTTCCTGAGCGAAGGCAAAAATGTGTGAGCCAGAGGCTAAAAAACGGTGAGCTAGCTCACACTAACTCAGCTTAGAGGGAACACTGCTCATCCCTCAGGCAGAGGAGCTGCTGGAGAGGAGGCCTGCCTTGTAGGAAGGGCACCATGGGGCCACCGTGAGGTGAATTTGGGGAGAGGTGCACAGGTGAAGGCCTACGTTTGCCCAAAGAGGAGTGTGTGAGGAATCTAAAGAAGGCTCGCCACAGAGCCCCATATTTTGCTGAAGCGAGCCAGTCGGATGCTTCAGAGGTGCCCTGAAGGACCAAGTTTTGTCTCTCATGGCCATTCCCTTCCCTCCTGTTCATGTGAATTTCCCTCCTGGGCCCTCCAGAGCTGGCTGCTGTGTTTGTTCTGCTAACAGGACTCCTTATCAGGCAGCAACACCCGCAGGACTTCCTGTCTGGATTGTCCATCCCAGCCCTGATTTACACAGGAAGACAGGCATAAAAAGCCACCCTTCCACCTCCAAAGGGACCTCCTGCCTCTGTGCATCATGGCCACTGACCAGCTGGGCTGGGGAGCGAGACTGCGGGCGCCGAGTGCTCCAAGCTGGGCCGGGCAGGCCTTTCGCCACGAGGCGGCAAAGAGCGGCGGACATGGTGGGGACTGGACTCAAGAAGGGGTCTCTGGAAAGGTGGGAGGTGGTCTGCAGCCCGTGGCCACCGCAGGACATGGCAGGTATGGGTTCTCATGGTCTGTGAGTTGGGCTGTTGTGGACCACAGAGGTGCATTGTAACTGTTGGGGCTTCATGGTGGAGAGCATTTTATCTCTACTGTCAGCAGTTGCTTCTTGTCTTTGCTAGAGGCCATATCGGGGTGGGGTGCAGTATTTCAAAAGGACCCTCTAGTGATACGCTTATGCTCTGGAGGATTTCTCTTTTGTAGAACCTTGGCAGGAACCAGATATGCTCGAGTTCTTACCAGCATATTGTGTAGTAGGTTTTCTATGGATCCACCTACGAAACCTTTGCTACCATTTCCGTATGAATTCATTTTAAATCGGATACTGCTGGAACCTCCTGCAGTAGTTATAAGTGTCCAGGGAACCAGAACACAGGAGGGTGTGCCCCCCCCCCCCCCCGGGGGGTCTGGCTGGAATCTGCTTTTCACACACAGCCCCTCCGCCTACTCCTTGGATGGTGGCCACGGAGCTTTCCCTCAAAACAAATAGAAACCTGGAAAAGGGGGGGGGAGCAATAGTTACTGCTGTTTGTTATGCGGAGGCCAGACGATGTTCCACACACAGGTTCGATTCCAGCTGCTTCACACTTGCTAATCTCTGAAAAGGACTGGCTCTGAGGCAAAAAGGAAGTTCTGTCTGTGGGGTCTGGGCTGAGCCCCTCAGCCACTGCCTGCCATGGGGACCAGATGCTGGCACAAGCATACCCTTCAAGCTCTGGGGCAGCTGGCTGATCACGGTTGGAGATGGGAGTGATGGACTTAGTGGACCTTTGTCTGATCCGGAAGGGCAGTCCCTACATGTGGAGGTTGGCGTCACAGTATTTCTCTGGGGTTTGCCTCAAAGACCAACCTGGTTGTATGGATGGTTTCCATCTCAGTGTCCACAACTGCCAAGGAGGTGCTGCCTGAGAACGGCATTATGCCACACAGATGGGCAAACCCAGGAGAGATGTATGGGAGCCAAGAAGTATTTTGGTGGCTTCTGCATCAGCTGGATAATGTTGCAGTCAGGCATGACTCAGGTGCAGGGAATCCTGGTCACGTGCTCTGCCTTGCCAGCAGAGAGAGTTAAGGAGGCTCTTCTCAGGCACACATGGGTGTGGGGCAGACCCATGCCTTTGTGCTTGGGAAACAGGGAGGCCTTCTCTCATCTGGCATTCCCAGTTCTTGGTCATGACCAACACGGCTCTTGCTTGTCAGTAGACTGTGGGGTCCCAGGACAGAAGAGGTTGTGTATGTAAAAGGACATGTCAGGCTGGTGCTCAGAGTGCAGGAACGCCTGTTCCTTTGGGTCTTCATGGACGCATAGGAGATGGGGCAGGGAAAGGGGGGCAGGAGGAGACGGAAGGTATTTCCACCTGGTTTATTTGCTTGGACTTTGATTTTATCGGGAAGTAGGCTTTATTCTGCTTCCCCACAGCATGGGGGTGCCTTTGTTGCTTTTCTCCAGTCTTTCTCAAACCTGCTTTTTGGAAAAGATCACAGTGAAGCTTGGGTGGCTGCCATAGGGGTGGGGAGATTTGGGTTTTCCTGGCCCCACCCACACAGCAGCCATTTTCTCCACGGCAGCCATTTCCTCTCCCTATACTGATCCGCCAAAATATTTTATTTATATCCTGCACCTTCTCCCCACAAGGGGACTCGGGGTGGCTTACAACATTTAAAATACAGTAACTATAAATACAATACAAATAAACACAATACGTATAAAACAAGTAAAAACCAATTAAAATATCAACAACAAGCCAATTTGAAGGATTAAAAAAACTGGCTGGCTGCCCGGTTCAGAACGCTGAAGGCCGCCCAAAACAGAATGGTGAAAGGTCCCGCAGAGCACAAACTTCCTTGGGGTTGTGTGTATGTTTCCAGGGAGAGGGGGCAGCCACTGAAAATGCCACTGCCCTGGTAGTTGACACGCAGGCAAATGTATCCGGTTCTCTGAATCCGCAGCTGTCATTGAAAAAAGTTCGCCTCTAGCCCCTTTCTTTGCTGATATACACAGAAAAGGGCATCTCTCTGCAATAAAATGGGCTACAGGCTTTAAAAACAAAGCCAGGAACTCAGAGAACCTGATTCATATTGTGGTGTGATGGTATATCGATGTTATGCTACTAAATCACCAATTGGAAAAAAAACTACCCAGGGAAGCATGCTGTGCGGAGGCGCTGTCGCCGTCACTGCACCGTGTTAGCAGCCGCTGCAGCAGAACAGAACACGCTGCCGTGTGAACAGAAAGGTGTGCGTTTTTGCAGGTCCCGCCCACATCAGCACCATTTTCTTTGCCCCAGGCCCCTATTTCCCCTCACTACTGGAGGTCTTTTTTTAAAAAAAGGATTGGCGATTGACATTACAGCAGAACACTATGATGCAACAATTCTCCACTAACTCCTCTGAATTGCCAGATCTCATTAAACAAGGATAGTTCTCGCCCTTTCAGTTGCAGGAGCTATTCCTTTCTCCTTATATCTCTGTGACGGCTTGAGACTTTTTTGTTTCTAAACGAAAGCAGGGAATTCACAGGCCCTAATTGATGGTTATACCGTTAGAATGCTCTAAAAAGCCCTGCAGTGGAGCGGGGGAACGGGCGGCCATGGAGTGCTGAGGTGCAGCCAGGAGTGCCAGCGGGAATAGCTCTGTGTTCACTGGGACAATTGGGTGCGGGGCCATGGAGTGTTCAGGTGCAGCAAGGGTGGCCGGGAGTGCCAGCGGGAATGGCTCTGTGTTCACTGGGACAATTGGGTGCTACATGGGGAACTGTGACCACGTGGAAGCCGCCTCTGTTGGATCTGAGAGGGGAACGTGGTTGAGCCCATTCCCCCTCCTGGCAGTGTGATGTGCAGATGCCACACCCTGCCAACATGCACAGCACACTCCCTTTTGTAATGCTGCATCCTTGAGGTCCTTGTGCCATGCGGGCTGAATCAGGCCCCCCCTCCCAGACCACCAGGTCCCTCCTGCTGCTCTTGGTGCAAACTGACCTGAAAACACACTGGTCTGAGTCCTGCCTTTCACGGCAGTTTGATCAGCACTAATCAGCAAGAGCAGGACTCCCCACAGATGTCCATAGAGCAGGCTGCTGTTACAGGCACAGGAGCAAAGGCTGATCAGCTAGCTGGCAACCTAAGAGCTGCATGAAACAGCCGTCTCAGGGATGGATGAAACAGCCTCTTCAGGGCACAGGGGGCCTGTATAACTGGGGTTCTCTTTCTCCAACAAACAGGAAGAAGTCAAGGAACTTTCTAAAGGGACCTACTCTTGTGTAGCAACAAATGACTGGCCAAGATGGATCTGGTGAGTTTTGTGATTCATTTGGAGTGTGCAATCATGCAGTAGATCTCCCAAGGGCAAAGAGAGATGTCTCCCCAGCCCCATTATGTCCATGTCCTAAAATTTGAGGATCGTTTCCCCTCCTCAGGCGACCTTGGGAAATGTAGTTAGTTCCCTGTGGAGATCTAGTAGCAAGCTCTCAGCACCCTCACCAATCTACAACTCCCAGGATAATTTGGGGGAAGCCACAGCAATTAAATTGCTACAAAACTGTCATTCATATGCAGTAGAGAGATGCCCAGTGCGTTTGCGCTGGCCGTGGGAGAGAAATTGTGGCTCAGCTTCGTAAGCTTTAGTAGTATGTTAGACTTTGGGTAGATATAGAAATGTCATCAGAAGGTGCCTCGTGGCTTATTTGTGCACACTTATTTGTAAAAGTTTCAATTGGAGTTGACTGCCCTGGATGCCCCACGGTTTCTGGGCACAATTCAAAATTAACCTCTAGATTTTTTTTAAAATACTTGCCCAAATGGGCAAAGTTTATTAGTTTTTAAGGGTTACACATAACAAAACAACAGAAAGAGCAATACATTTTTAGAATATCTATGTATCTAAAGATGCTGTGGGCGAGATAATGTCTATATAACCTCTACATTTCTTAACGGCTTGAGGACTGAGTACTTGAAAGACGGTCGCCTCCCCTAATGTCTGACCCACCCATTAAGATCTGCCTTCCTAGCCCTACTCTCAGTGCCCACGCCTGCAGGTGAGGCAGGTGGCAACCAATGGCAGAGCTTTTTTGGTGGTGGCATCTCACCTGTGGAATGTCTGCTCGCGGAGGTTTACCTGGCATTCACCAGCGTCTTTCAGGTGCCAGGCCAGGGCATTTCTTTTCACCCAGGCTTTTAACTAAGGGTTTTTATCTTTTAAACCTTTTATGGTCTGTGGTTGGTTTTATGGATGCTCAATGGTTGTTTTTAAATACTATTTTGATGCCCCCAGCTTATTTTAATAGCTCATTCTGTTTTTTGATTAGTGACTTACAGGATTTTATGGTATTATTTCACTCATAAGTAGGGCTCTAGGCTGGCAGACAAAAAATGCCTTATATTACTAAAATAAATGTTGAGGGCATTAAGAGATTCCTGTGTTGAAAAAGTGTCACTTCTGATAATGTAAAGACTAACCAAATTTGTGGCCGGGGATGAGCTTTTGTGAGTCAGTGCCCATTTCTTCCTATCTCACTTCATTCTTCATATCTGAAGAAGTGAGCTGTGAGTCACAAAAGCTCATCCCCTGCCACAAATCTGGTTAGTCTTTAAGATCCTACTGGACTCTTGCTGTTTTCTACAGCTAGACAGACAAATGCAGCAACCCATCTTGGTAGAACTATTGAGAACTGTGAACTTTGGAGCAATGTGTGAAGGACAGTCAGTTCCAGTCCACAAATCATTGTGCCATGAATTCAGATATCCACATCAGCTCTCTCTCTCCCCCCCCCCTTCTCCCTCACACCTTAGAGTCTCTGCCCTGGTTCACGCATGAGACATGTGCGTCCAGGGAGTGCAGCTGTGGCTGGACCGTGGGGTGGGTGGAATAGCTTACTTGACTGTCCCTCCATTTAAAATGAAACACAGAAACTGTGATGATCTGGGAGATGAGATTAGCTGGGATACAACTGATCAGGAAAACATTCGCACAACCAGCAAGCAGATGCATGGAGCGTTAGTCTTTGCAAATGTCCACAGAGCAAACTGCTTCTAAGAGGCACAGGAGCGAAGGCTGGTCAACTAGCTGGCAACCCAACAGTAAGAAATCAAGGTGCCTTGAAACGGAATCAACTTCTTCTCTTGGGCAGCAAATGCACTGGTTTTTAATATGTGGGATTTTTGTTCCCTTCTTGGAAAAGCATTATATGATGCACTATCCCACAGGATTGCCTGTTTTTCCTTCCCGTGCCCAACAAGCAAAAAATCGCTGAACCTAGCTGAATCCTAGGGAAAGGATGTTGCCGCTACCTTTCTGTGGCTCAGGTAACAAACGCATTAGCCAATTAATGGTGGCCTGAGTTGCCAGGGGTGGCCAGCTGTGCAAAGGGCCCCCGTGCATGTCTTGTTTCCGTGTATACCCCGCCCTTCCCGCGAGGGGGCGAGGGGCGGCCGACAGCCACCCAGTTCTGGCGGGGACTCTCCGAGGAGGAGGCCCGCCCGTGGCTGCCCTGCGCCCTCCCCAGGCTGACTCTCCGGCTCCAGGGAGCCCGGCCGGCTGACGGGCTTGCCTTCTGCCTCCACGCGAGGCTGGCCGCCCGACGGTGAGGCGCCCTGACCTGAACGCGGGACCAGGCACGCGTAAGGCCGCCGCCCCTCGCCCCGCCACGTCGGCGAACAGCCCCGCTGCTGCTGCCCGACCCGCGTCCTCCTGGCCCTGGATGGGGGGCGGGACGGGAGGGGGCTTGGCGTGCACGTGCAGCGCATCCCGGAGGCGCGTGGCCGCGCTTCCGAGGCCCCGCAAGGCCCGCTCGGGGGGGGGGGGGGAGCCG